TGCCTCAGGGCCAGTACTCAGTGTCCCAGACCCACTAGGCTGCTGCACTGAGGCAGGAGCATCAAGCACAGACGCTCAGTGTGAGAAGGGCAGCGCCTTCAGTGACACACAGCTCCTCCAGGAGGAAACGCACCTGGCAGCAACCCGGTGGGGTTTCCCCAGCTCTCCTGAGATATAAGTGATAGATAACACTGTGTAAGCGTAAGATACAAACGTGGCTGCTTTGTGATCCCAGGGCCCTGGGGAGAAAAGAAAGGAGCTGCCATGCTCTTTACCATCTAAGTTAGTTCCTTCCTAAACTAAGAGGTTTGTTAGCTCTTTCTGAGAACTGCCCTCTAAGAACTTTTCCTGCCTGGCCAGTGTAGCTCAGTGGTTGAGCATCGACCTATGAACCAGGAAGTCACGGTTCGATTCCCGGTCAGGGCACATGCCCAGTGTGGGGTGTGCAGGAGGTAGCTGGTCAATGATTTTCTCTCATCATTGATATTTCTCTATCTCGCTCTCCCTTCCTCTCTGAAATCCATAAAAATACATTTAACACATTTAAAAGAGAACGTGTTTCCAAGTTGGAATTTCCTGCCAGCGACACGCGGCCCTGCTGGGTAGGCGGTTTCTGCCCCTGGGATAGGCCAAGACTTCTGAGCATCAGGGCGCACCTTTAGCAGAGCCTGCAGCCACGGGGAGTGGAGGAGGTCGTACAGGAGACACAGTCCGCTCACGTCTCGGCTGTAGAACAAATTCAGCTCTTGCAGCACAAGCCTCAGGATTTGGGAGAGACCTGGGAAAGGCAGAGGGCAGAGTCAGGGTGGCAGGCAGGTGGAGGAGGCAAGAAGGTGGTGTACATGTGAAGGACAAGTCAGCCGGGACGTGCCACGGGGGCTCAGGAGTGGCCATGACACTGGATTTTATGCCAGAAGATCTGCCTTCAGGCCCTATTCTGTCACTTGCTCAGAAAGTCACCGAACTACCTGGGACCCAGGTTCCTGTGGCAAAAAGAGAGTATGTTAGCTCTCCCATAGGGTTGCTGCCAACCCCTGATGAAATAAGAGTCATAGTACACAGATGGAAGATATTGTGAGAGCAATATTGCTTTTATTCTCCCCAATCTTACCAGCCTTTGGCTTATTCCAAAACGATCTAGTTGTTTTCTGGGTACTCCTTCCCTAATTCAAACAGAGAGTCATTTGTCTACCCTCTCTGAAAATGCTTATTGAAAGTGTGATTGAAAAACTCTCACTCCCAATAAGTTTTTAATACACTGCTTAAAGGGGCTGACCAGATTTTCGTGAGTGCTCGGTTTTTTAGAAGTGTTTTCATAGAAATTCTATTTGATGCAGTGACATTTTGAATGTGAACAAGTTATGAAGCTCTAAGTTTAGGTAAGACATTGGGTCAATATCTTTCCTTCCTGCCCTGAACATTACTTAGACTTATAACCAATACATGTGGTAGGACACTCAAACATGTACAGGACTCTTATAGGAATCGCAGTAAATCTATCAGAATTTGACCCATGTATTTGATCACATGTTCAGAGTGATGGTATCAGACCTCCCTAGCTTAGAAACAGGATCCGGGAGCCACATACCATCCTCGGGATTGGACGGCGTAGAACGCGTCAGGTCCTCCTTGTCGGGCGGGTCTGCGCCTTTGTCTGAGTGTATCATCCTCCCGCCTGAGCTCCCAGAGAGAATCCAGGCCTGGGGAGCAGGTCAATAGACAGCACACCGCTCACACAACCACGCTGGCCACGCAGCTCTTGGCGCCCTGAAATGCATGTTCAACAGCACTTCCTGGGCAAGCCAGGCCTGTGCTACACACTGGGATCCTCAGCAAACACACAAAAAACTCTTGCACTGTGGTCCTGACTCTCTGACCAGCACTAGTTGTACAGAAGAGAAAACTGCTATTTCATAAAACACTCCCTCTACGGCGCCCTTTGCCTAGTTGCTTTTACCATCACTCAGAGCTTGGAAGCCTCCCTGGCCTGACTGACTCAGGAGCCCTGTTCCCTCTCATTGTACCAGAGTCGTGTGTTACTGCTGAGCCACACTCTTAGAATTTACTTTCTATATTGCTTTAGGCAGGTTTATTTATTTCTTTATTTTTTAAAATGTTTTTATTGATTTCAGAGAGGAAGGGAGAAGGAGAGATAGAAACATCTCCGATGAGAGAGAATCATTGATCGGCTGCCTCCTGCATGCCCCCTACTGGGATTCAGCCCACAACCCAGGCCTGTGCCCTCAGCAGAATCGAACACGGGACCTCCTGGTTCATGGGTCGATGCTCAATCACTGAGCTACACCGGCTGGGTTGCTTTAGGTAGGTTTAATTTCAAGAAACAGAATCCCAAAACAACAGTGGCTTAACAGAAGTTTATATCCTGCTCATGTAAACTTCCAGAGGCGGAGACAATCCCGGGCTGGTCGGGCAGCCTTGCTCCATGAAGTTCTCAGTGGGTTCTTTCCACTCAGCCCTCCACCACTCCGGGGGCGGTGTGCTCCTCACCCTCCTGCTCCAGGTGGTGGCTGGAGGCCAGCCGTCACATCTACAGTTCAGCCAGCAGGCCAGGTGCCCTTCACAATGAAGAATCGCCTCATGCCTTGTGTAACCCTCAAATGTCCACTGCACGTTCATGTGACTGGAAGAAAACCTCTATAACTATCTGAGCCTAGAACTCAACTTTTCTTTCTTTTTTTTCCTTCTTCTAATCAATAGACAAGCATTTATTTAAGGCCTATTTTATACCAACTCAGTAATTGCCACAAGGGAATTTTTCTTTACATATAAATACAAAGTACTTTTGCAGTTTTAACATACACTGAATTTTCAGGAATGCTACTAAATGCAACTAAACCACGTAGACCAGAAAGCCCAGAACTGTACCTTTAGCTATTGAGAACGGACAGAAGGGCAGACAGGTGGATCCCCGGCATTGAGGACCACTCAGTAGGGTCTCTTACCTGCGAGATGGCAGACACGTAATGTTGCTGGTATCAAGGGAAAAGCTTTATCGGGAAATTAGCTGCTTTCAGCTGCCAGTCACCTCGCTGTTCCAGATTAAATCTCTGCACATCCTCTTTGATTTAATCCACAGACGCCTAACCATTCAATGACTCCCAAGCCTCCCCTGTCACAAATCTTAAGTAGTCCTTACACTGAAGAGTCTAGTAATTCCTCCCATTTTAAACCTTCCTGTAGTATTTTCTCTCTCATTGTCAGCACATTGCTAATGGTTAGATTAATACTTGTGTTGAGTGTTTCAGGGATAACAGACAACCTGCAACAGAAGATAGCATTTTATTTTAATGGAAGGGAAACTGTGGAGATACCTGAGAGGAAGACTAGTAACCTTACTGTCTCACGCTACAGTGAGAGAACAATGAAATCAGCAGCAGTTCCTTCTGGCAGGCCCCCTACCAAGCCACTGCTCTGAACTTCATGGTTCGCCCATCCTCTGTCTCAGATTGGAGCTACTTTGTCTGAACATTTCATATTGCAGGGAGGGGGGAGAACTTTGAAAGCAGGCATCACAAAACAACAACAACAAACAGGAGAGAGGGTACTGCTGACAGCAAGGCGAAGGGTAAAGACCAAATAGCAATTATAAGGTTTATCAGCCCCTTTATCCCAAGTTAACATATGGCTCTCCACTGTAGATGAAAATCCAAGCTGGGAATGGGATACATTTGTGAATGTTTTATGAAAAGCACTTAATTTTATTAAAAGTTTTTATTTCCAACTCTTTTCACTTTGGAACTTTTAATGCATGACCTGTATGAAATGACATCTCTGCAGCTGCAGGAGGAAAACGCACTAGGAAGTTCTAGGTTCGAGGCTCAGCTCTAATAGGAAGTGAATCACAGCCACTCCTTGTCTGTAAAATGGGAATCAGTAAGGTGAGCATTCATCAGGGTGAGAAGTCCTTGCAAATTGCTACAGACATTGCCTGGAGACTTAGGGCTTTTCCCCCAAGAGAACTGAAATTTTATAATTTTAATATCCTATTTGAAAAGTATAAATACAGTAAGAAGAAACTAATGTAACAGGGTAGTTCCATTCATGGCTCCAATAAAAGGATGAATTGTAACATGTTTTTTGTGTTTTGAAAGAATTAAGACAGCCTACCAGCATTTTAGAACTTCTCAGTGGGTCTCAAGTTCTCCTCTGTCCGTTTCCACAATTATCCCAGTCTCTATCTCCCCGGGGGTCAAAGGCATTCAGTACAATTGCCTTTACAGGTCAAATGTGGAATTTACTTAAAAGTCCAAGCATTCCCTGATGGAAATGAAAAGTGTTTAACATTCACTGATCTTCTAGTACTGTCCCTCGGCAGCAGGCAGGCCCACGCGGGCAGAAAGCGTCAGGCTTCTTGAGAAGACACCTCAACAAGGAGATGATTGACTAAGGCCTAATATTTCTAACCAGGATTTTAAATCCTCGCTCCTCCCTTCCCTGAATCTGTTTAAGGGAGAGAGAAAACAAAAACAAAACAAACATAAAAACACAGTAACTATCAAAATATGCCTTTTATTCAAAGAAATAACAGACTTCTTTTAAGACCCTTGTCCTAGGGTTAATAGGATCAGGTTAATTTGTCCTTTGCCACCAAAGGTGCTATAATAATAATTAAGTTTGTTTATTTTAAAGAGAAATGTCTGAGACCCTAGAGCAGGGGTGGGCAAACTTTTTGACTCAAGGGCCACAATGGGTTCTTAAACTGGACCGGAGGGCCGGAACAAAAGCATGGATGGAGTGTTTGTGTGAACTAATATAAATTCAAAGTAAACATCATTACATAAAGGGGTACGGTCGTTTTTTTCAATAGTTTTATTCATTTCAAACGGGCCGGATCCGGCTGGTGGGCTGTAGTTTGCCCACGGCTGCCCTAGAGGAACCTCTGAGGCAGATGACAATGTGGGCACCAAAACACAAAGCCTGGTTTCTTTTAAAATTGTAGTCTGCCCTGTGTCATTTCTTTTGCAATCAAAACAACCTCATAAAGATGAATGTCTTTTATTATGAAAATTGCTGTTACATTACAGCCAACATTCCAAAACAGTATTTTAATAAACACTCGTCTTGATTATAAAGTAGAGCAAAAACCATGATCCTGTTTGTTAGCATCTGCTGATGTTTCACATAAATCAGGACACTCCGTACGCTCCCCACGTGTGCAGATGAGATGAGGAAGAGCACCTATGTTATCCAAACAGCTACTAGTGTTACTTGTACAGTACAAACCCACCACTTACAACATAAAAAAGCAAAACACTACGATGTTGAGGTGTCACAATACTTGTGAGATGGGAAAAGCCGAGCGCGTTTCCTTTTTCTTCCCTTTGAGGCACAGGGAAGCACACTAGGTCAGGGGCAGATGCAGGGCTCCGCTTCCCTGTCTCCTAGTCTTTGCTCCACTGCAGCCTGCATGCAAAAGTCTTCGCCTCATTCCCAGGCCTCAGGCACCGCCTTTGGACAGGGGCGGATCCGCAGCAGCTCAGAGTCAGGGTTGGAGTCCAGCGTATTCACCCTGTAGCACTCACTGTAAGGAAACCGAGGACAAGATTCCTATGTTCTTTTACTCAGGAGGCAGAATACTCCTATTTGGACACAATCCTTGTTTGGGGTTGGAACTTGTTGGTCATTATATTGAACCTCTCTCCTCTGATGAATACTCTGGTGGAAAAGCTTAGAAAAAGTTAAAACTGCAGTTTAAAAGTTCCTCTTGCCCCCGTCTCAGCAAAGCAGCAGGATGCACCCAGGACTGCAAGGAACCCAGGAAGGCAGAGTGTGGTAACCGTTGTTTCGAGAACAATCTGCTCCTTGCAAAAGGGTCTGGGGTGACTGCAGGCAAACCAGAAACTCAAAAATGTCCATCGACGTCCTGAACGTGAGAACCTTCCTGATAGTGTGGAGCAGCGTACCCTTCGCCGAAGGAAGGGGTGTCCTCTTTCTTCAAACAGTAGTAGATGGGACTGGTCCAACCTGAATTCTACCTCCTTTTCGATCTTCCCTTTAAACTGTACAGTCTCTTCCTCTGGGCTCAGAGCTCTGATCATTATAAGGCTCAGAAATAACCAAAACAACACAACATCCTAACTTCAAGACCATTCTTTTTTGCCACTACAGGAAGGTGCCAGATGGTGCTATAACACTCTGTAGAGATAATCCAGTTGTTAGCTGTTACGCAACCTAGTTAAGCTTCTCACGCTGGATCTGGTAGTAACATGCCTGAAAAAAATAAAAACAATTTCAAAATTTACTTTGTAAGAAATTACATAAACATAGCAACACACATGGGACTAAAGAAAAAAAATCTCTTATTCATTCTGATGGCCCAATAAAATCAGTTGCTTTCATTTTCCCTGTTCTCTTCCAGTCTCCGATCCAATGTCTATACTGCCTAGCTATAATTAATAGAAATATAATTTTATGCAGTTCCCTCTAATTAATAAAAACACACAAAACTTTTTACAAGCTTTATAATATTCTTCACTAAGTAATACTATAATTTGCTAAACCACTATTAATTGGACATTTAGAGAATGCTGCTCATTATAAGATACACAAATAACCATGATCAGAATCATCATGTTTGGTAAACATGCAGATTAAGCATCATTCCACACCTATGAGTCAGAATTTCTAGGAACATTTTTAAAAAGCAGCCCTTGGTGATTCTGAAAGTATCCTGGTCTGGGAGTTACTCACACTATTTTCCCCAGTTCCTACCACCCATTTTCAGTTTATTTAATAAAAATGGTATTTCAGTTGAAAAGCTAAAAAATTAACCCAATGCAGAAATGTGACATTAAATTCTAGTTTTCCCCCCTCATTTTAATGTCTGCCTTTCCTTCTTTCTCCCCTTTTCTATCTTTAACCCTAAAGCACTTGTAATTTGCAATATTGGTGATTCCATTCTCCTTCCAAAATTCTTAGTGAGCTATCCTATGACTTTACCATTTATTTATTTACATTTATTTATTTATTTACATTTAAAAAATATATTTTATTGATTTTTTTACAGAGAGGACGGGAGAGGGATAGAGAGTTAGAAACATCGATGAGAGAGAAACATCGACCAGCTGTCTCCTGCACACTCCCTACTGGGTATGTGCCCGCAACCAAGGTACAAACCCTTGACTGGAATCGAACCTGGGACCCTTGAGTCCACAGGCCGACGCTCTATCCACTGAGCCAAACTGGTTAGGGCGACTTTACCATTTATTAAATAAACTTCTCATTTCCATTTTTTTGTCTGATGTTTCCATTTTTATATGTGAAGTTTTCATTATAATGTCTATATGGGAGCTATCTCTTCCACTTAGTTGCCTATTCCTGTAATAGTGACATACTATCTTAATTATTAATTATTATAATTCTGTAACATTTTACTAACTGGAAGAGTGGGCCTATTCTCCCTCTCTTTTTTCAGAAGAGTTTTTGTCATTTTCTTTCTGTTGTTCTTCCAATAAACTTCAGAATGGTTCTACCACAGTCCAAGAAAAACTGAGGTGGGGGAAGCAAAATGACTTTCAACAATCCCTAGAGAGCCCAGATCAGAGAACCTCATTTGTACCTACTGGCTACAGTAATACATGGGGGGAAAGGTTCCTTCAGCCCGACCTGCGCCCTCTCGCAGTCCGGATCCCTCACTCCTTACTGATCCACCTGCAGCAAAGGTGAGAGAGGCTCCTGCCACCACCACTGTGCTCACTAGCCGGGAGCCCAGCTTCTGGCTGAGTGGCACTCTCCCTGTGGGAGCGCACTGACTACCAGGGGGAAGTTCCTGAATTGAGCGTCTGCCCCCTGGTGGTCAGTGCACGTCATAGCAATCGGTCATTCTATCGTTCGGTCAATTTGCATATTAGGCTTTTATTATATAAGAAGATATGTGCTCTAAAGGCACTTAATGTTTGCATTAAACTTATATAAAGAAGAAAACTGGCTAATGACAGATCTGTAATATGGTAATTGAAGGGTAGATTTTAAGGTAGTATTAAATAACACCTACACTTACCTTCAAGGTGGTGAACATTATGCCCTGTTCCCCATGCTGAAGATATGGGTCCATTAGATCCTCAATGAGATGCACCTCAGAGCCTAAATTCCTAATCCTGCCCAATGAGAAAAAGATACTGAATCATTTCTTGTACATCTTCCTTCTGAATCTATTTGAGGGGGAAAGAAAGAATAGCTCGACAAAGAGGTAATGACATAGTGGAATGGTTTAATACAAATAGAATTTTTTTAGTGGGAGGGAGCATATTCCTGTCATCAGTTCAAAAAAAGCAAAGGCATACGTGTTAAAATGAGTGGTCACTAACATTAAAGTCAGAAAGACTGGTCACCTGGCCCGTAGCACCACATATAAGAAAACAGGAAACAGGTCGTCCATGGACCACAAGAAGTCCTCCTGCAGAGACGCCAGCACGCCCTGAGAGATCTCCTCGAAAGTCTGCTGGATGACTTTCAGTTTGTCTGATGGGGTAAACGTTGTGCTGTTGGGGGAAAAAAAGACAAAAATATACCTGGTAATTTTCTTACTGGAGCCATTTGTTATTCATTTTTTGAGAGTATTCCCTCCTGAGGTACATCAGGCACAATGAGTCGCTGGAAGGGGTGACCTTTGTAACCCGATGGTTCTCTGATAAAAGAAGCTTCAAACGATCTACCATTCACCTGGAAGAGTTCACTAAGTCACACGTCATCTCCTTTCACCAAGTGGATCTTATCTTCATATCATGTGCTCTTCTCTGAGGAAGTGTAGCTAATTTCCATTTGGCTAAAGATGTGATTATATAGGTAAGTTTCTGGGTAGGCACTCCACTTTTGACAATACAAGGGCTTTGTAGAGTGAAAGGTAACAGAATGTCTCAAAAGAGCCTTTCTTATCTCCAGGCTGTTTTGACAACATCTAGGAGGGGAGGGGCACTTGGAGCTTAAGTAAAAATAAGATCTCATTAATATCTTAATAGACTAACCACTACTTTGATTTATGTGTTGTTTTCCAACAAATAAGAGATTACCTGATCTGCTGTAGACATTCCACGGCTGAGGCAAAACAAGCATCTTTTGTGGTTGGCAAAACCTGCAAAAAGAGTATTTATGAAGCTCAATGAGAAAAGCTATTTTTTAAAAAATATATATCTTTATTGATTTCAGAGAGAAAGGGAGAGGTAAAGAGAGATAGAAACATCATTGATGAGAGAGAATCATTGATTGGCTGCCTCTTGCACGTCCCCTAATGGGGTTCAAGCCCACAACCCAGGCATGTGCCCTTGCCCGGAATCGAACCTGGGACCCTTCAGTCCGCAGGATGACATTCCATCCACTGAGCCAAACCAGTTAGGGCAGAAAAGCTATTTTTTACTGTAATAATAAAACAATACTGATGGCAGAGTGCAGGTCTTTGGTGAATAATTCATGCTTGGGTACTATTCTACCAACGTAAGGTGGAAATTTCTAGTATCTCAAATCCCCCATTCTAAAGAAAAGCACAGCTGCTAAGGAAACTAAAATCTACTATACCTTTTTAGTCTCTCCAAGGATTGACAAGGTCACTGGCCAAAATTTCCTGCAATGGAATCCATCCTTTGTTAATACAAGTTGTTACTTATGGTAAATTAATCACCATAAAAACAGGTGATGGCCATATTGGCTTTCCTGTCCCCATTTAAAATAACTGTACCACAGACAGGTCAAGTTTTAATAAACATTCCAGAAGTAATTTAAGGTCTATCATGTCCCTTATGGATCTGTTATTCTATACTCTAAAATCCCTATATATTATGAATATGACCTAACAATGGCCAAAACATTTCCTTTATTCAGTCTTATTTATCTCATTTTTACTATTAAATTACTCCCCACTGAAAAGATTTACTTTCCAATTCAGGTTTAGTCTCTTTTTTGATAGCACAAATATATAATTATTGGGCGTTGGGGTGATCAGCCTTATTACAGCATATGAAAGCATAATCACTTAGTATTCTCCTGGAATAACAAGAAACAATGCCTTTCAAAAAAAAGAGCACTTTGAAAACTTTTAAATTAGAAATTATGTATGGGGGAGGAGGAACAAGAAGAGAAGGAAGCATGCCCAAGACTGAATACAATTAGGTTTTTAAAAAAATATGAATGTATATATATTTTGCTTTAAAAACTGCAAAATATCAGGTATATATATATAAAGCATGCACACATACAAATAAAAAATACGTTCTAAAGAACAATGGGGTCCATACCCATCTTCAAAAATAAAGATTGTTAAATATCACTATTTTGTGAAATAAGACAGATATGCGAATAAGTGAATAAACTGTAAATTGTATACATAATTAGATATCAAAGTACTCAATTCCTGATAATGATATTTCCATTTTAAATATAAAGCATGCACACATACAAATAAAAAATACGTTCTAAAGAACAATGGGGTCCATACCCATCTTCAAAAATAAAGATTGTTAAATATCACTATTTTGTGAAATAAGACAGATATGCGAATAAGTGAATAAACTGTAAATTGTATACATAATTAGATATCAAAGTACTCAATTCCTGATAATGATATTTCCATTTTAAATTAAAACCACTTGATTCCACTCATAACTGCTGTACGTACCTCTGCACCCCAAGGAAGCCCAGCAGAGCAATATCTGGCTGCTTGTTCAGCCGCAGAACACACTCCCAGTAAACATCCTCCTCACGGTCGTTCTCCAGGGCATAGAGCATGAACAGTGGTGGGTAGAGCCGAGGCAGGAGCACGGGAAGCAGCAGCCCAGAACTGGTTACCACGTAACTACAAACAGTGGAGTGAGAGGGAGAATCATTCCTATTGAAACTCAATGCAGAATCAAAGTTGAAAGTAGAGATGGGAAATTCTGAGGAAAGGAGCAGATTACTCTACTTTTAATTTAGAGTTCACATGAGGAGCTTAGCCCCCGAGTTTTGTCTTGGACCAACTGTGAACTCTTTCCGTAACTCAGAAAATCTAACTGGAAAGCCACGTGGTTTCCACTGTGAGATGCTTTCTCGGTGATTATTCTAGGTCAGCATGAGGTGGCTCTCCCCAGCAGCCTTTGTGCCGTCATTGGCGGCTGCACTTTCATCAACTTGAGAGCTAAATGGAGCCTCGGAGATCACCTGTCCAACCACATCACTTTAGAAATGAGGAAGCTGAGATTGAGAGAAACCATCTTTTCTGGCGTCATTTGGCTGCCACCCCCTTTCTTCACTATCTCCACCAAGTCCATTTACCCCGGCTCTGGGGATTCGGATCTGGAATCTGACTTCCCAGTGCAGAAGGATTTCCTTTCTGTGGGCAGAGGAGCGGAGAGAGGAATGGTGCTGCCCTCTTCTGGAAGCTCGGGAAATAAAAACCTAAGGAGTAATAAAACATAATTACAGAATTACACCTCCACAGAGGCTGAAAGAGTAAAAACATATTCCCATTATCTAATCTATTTAAGGACCCATGAAATCAAACTTTATATCAACTAAATATTTTAGTTGTCTGAGCTTCTTAACTGATGCTTCTCACAGAATAAAATTAAGAGTGCCGATAATGAATAATACCACTAAAAATCTTCATGTGCTATGGCTTTTCCTGTCTAGTTATTTAAGAATAAAGAATTCCAATCTTTATGTTTCTTTTATTGGAAAATCCCATCTGAGGTCAATCTGTATAAACTCTTCGAGCAGAGACCATTATTCTCAGATTATAAATAAGTATCAGTGGAAACTAAATGTCCAACGTTAAGGAAAAAAATGAAACTCAATTATTATAAAATTTAAAAAACCTTTTCATTGAATTTATTGGGGTTTCAGGTAAAAATTTTCAATATTTATATAAAAAGCCAAGTTGCTGAAAAAAAATCTTCAAGTGATTAAACTGCCAAATTGTTGAGGATTTTTTTCTAGGCTCTGAATTTGCCCTACATTTTATCTCCAATCTCAAATGGTAGGTTTTACCATGAACAAGTTTATTGTCCTCTTTATTTTTATAGACTTTCACTGTGACTCTTGCTCTTTAAAGACAGTCTGCAATCTTCTCTATTTTTGTAGACTTATCCCCCTAATTTTATAGTTGGTAAAGCTAATGAAGGTCGGGAAACTTATCTTCATTATACCCTTGCTAATGTCAGAGTGGAAATACTCACAACCCAGTGGTCTTTTACATCACAATGCCCCTAAAAGCTGAAACATTTCCACATATATTTAAGAAAGTTTTCTGGGACAAATTGATAAACTTTTGCATAATTATTTCAACATAATATTTTGTTGGCTTACACCCAGTAAATGATCTTGAATGTCACTAGTTCCAGATTTGCTTACTGCCTTAAAACTTTCCAAAAATGCTTACTCGCCCACTTTCTAACGTCCTTCAGGGTCTCTGTTCAGATATTACCTTATTAGTCAGGCCTCCTTAACCTGTTAAACGGCAGCATCTTACCCCAGCCCCATCCTCTTTC